AATCCCGCCGCCGTAGTCCGACCAGCCCTAGCCGTCAACCCGTCAGCCGCACGCCCTCTGAGAAAACCGCCAGTTGCAGTCTTCGTTCCTGATCGTCACGCAGCAGATTAGAGAAGGGGAGCCGCCCTCAGCCAAAGCCTAAGAGTGACGAGAAGCTGGATGAAGTCCTTCGTGCGCTTCGTGGATGTTGGTCTCAGCTGTCCACACAATCCAAGCACATTGGCCTCATCAAGAATCAGATTGCGGCTCAGACGATGCGATGCGATGAGTTAGCTACGAATATGACGAACTTCACTAACGACATCAATGTAACAGCTTCTCTCCTGGAGGCCAATAATCCTCTACGTGCACGGATCTTAACTTGCGTTCCGATCATTTTAAGGAGCAGGCCCAGGAACGGATTATGGATGAGATCTCCGCCCAAGAGGCGAGAGCCCACGTCCCCCAGTTTGACATGACGGCCGCAGGAGAAGAGTCCGCTCATGCGAAAGTCCAGGAACATATCGCCTCGTTGCAGGAACGGCTTCGTGCCATCGACAGCCCCTTCGACGGCCAGCAGCGCTGGCTCGCGGAATACCAACTCCACCGAAGCCCAGCAGGAGAAGACATGCAAACTCGTGGCCGTCGGTTCCCCCCGCAAGATTTTCACCCGCTCCCTGAGAACGATAGCCGATGCCCTGGAAGCCCAGTATGCACCATTGGCGGTCCACTCTCGGATCACCACGAAATGCTTCGACATGGCCCGGAAGATCAATGTCGACTTCGAGTGCGCCGCCGATGCTACCAATTTGTTTGCCAATTTCAGTCGGGATGGGGCCCATCGGCACCCTGGCCCGCTCGTGCCCCAGAACATGGCCAACGTCAAAGTCAAGCGTGACCGAGACATCAAAGGTCGCCACCTGTTCCTCTCCATGGGCAATGTCCGCTCCTACATCGCCAACATCCCAACCCCCAGCGGCGTCGAGGTTGGCAGCGACGGACTGGGCGGCTTGGTCTACGCGCTGAAATCCGAGAACGCACTGGTCGAGATTGCCCGGCTCCAAATCTCGGGCGGCGGCCTTGCGGCCACCGTCGAGCTGGACGCTGTAGGCCCGCGTGAGCTTGGGCTTGAGGCTCTCGCCGATGCCATCCGAGCCGCTGCCCTTGTTCAGATCAGGCGCCTTTTTGGGCGCTGACGCAGATTGCGCTTCAGAAGGCCACGGCGCCTACATTGCACGCTCGCAATCTTCTCCTCCCTTTCACGGGCGTGGTGAAGTTCCTCGATGTCCCCCCTGTCCCAATTGTCTGCCATCCGCCCCTTCGAAGCCCCCATGTACCTGCTTGTGGAACGCTCGCGGTCTATTCAGCTCGGTCAATAATGCGGGTTGGCCCGCCAGCGCACGCTATTCGCACTTCCTCATTCTCCCCCGCAAGTTTGCTATCACCCGTTGCCAGGAATCTCTCGGACACATCGGAGATATCGAAGAGCTCCATCGCGAGCTGGGCTCGGCTTCCTCTGGATTTTCGATCGGTTTTTCGTTTTTCTCTGGCTCGCAACGCGAAGGGGGCGCGGCTGCCATTGCCGGTCGAGAGTTACGCCGACACTGCACTTCCATTACCAATAATCCCATCATCACTTGCCGTATCCTCCATAGTCGCCCAACTGGTTTGAACGGGTCTCTCAGCGCCGTTCAATGCCCATCTTCCCAACGCGAGCGATGCCCTTGCTGTCTACTTCCGCGCTCTCGCCCGATCGCGCCGAGTATCAGAAGTTCCCGAATGGCCGCGGGATCCCGATCGGGGATTTTCATTTTGTCTTGGAATAGGAGGGTCGGGGCGGAGATCGCGCGCGCTCGCTTATTTCAACGACGCGCCCCTCTCCTCGCCCGCGCAGAGTTTCTCCGAGACCAGGGCGCTAGGCATTCAGCGCGCTTAGATACGGCTCACACCTCCCTCCCTCGAGCATTTGTTCGTGATCTTGACATTCGCTGTGGCGTCCTAGGAGCGCCGAGAGCTATGGCGAGCGACCACATTCCGATGGCTATCAACATCGAGCCCTTTCGCCCGAATTTGGTCCTCAAGCATCCCGAGTTTCAGAGGTTCCTGGAGCCCGCCTTAGCCGACATGACTGAGGAGCTAGGCCCGCAGCACCTCGAGCAGCTCAAGGAACTAACGTTCGTCGCGGCTGCTAGCGCCCGCGATTTTGTCGAACGCGAGCTTGCTGACGCACTTGAGCTCAAGCAGTGCTGCGCGCTGCAGGCCTTGCGGGGCTGGGGGCCTGGCAAGGATTGGATGGTCCACCGTGCGCTCAGATGCTGCCCCGCTCTCCAAGCTCGCTTCTGCCTGGCCACTTTCCAACGCGCGCGCCTGGGAGGCTTTTGCGCGCTCATTCGCAGCATCCATATGCAAGTGATTGGCGAGGAAGCTCGAGAACTCGAGCTGGCTGTTGCCCCCCCCCCCCCCCCCTCCCCGGAATCGAAGCCGCCAAAGAAGGAGTCAATCGCATGCAGGGGCCTTGGCGCAGATTGAAGGGTAGAGCTTGCTCTATTGGCGCATGCGATGAGAATGGTGCCCCCTGCAGGTCTGTCGACCGCTCTGCCGAGGTCCACCGCGCGTACTTGTCCAACGCTGTCCTTGCCCCCCCCCCCCGGGACATCTCTGGGTGGCCTGATGTTGATGCGGTCATTCAATCGGTTCCAAAACCCCATCCTCGATTGGAAGCTCTCGCATGGTGAATGTTTCGACTAGATGCGTTCGAGGGTCCGCAGCATGCCTGGGGAAGATGATCTTTCTCACGGGTTCTGGAAGATCCCTGAGGCACCCCGCCTCTTGCATGACGTCTACCTCACTCTCTTCGCGGACGAAATTCACGAATGAGGAGGATTGAGATTGAGATGCGGCGGAGCCTCACGGTCTTCCTCCCGAAGGGCACAGAAGCTCGGGACACGCCAGACGACATCCACCGCCACCCGAGCTGCACGCGCCCCCTTAGTACGTCGACAACAGATGTGACAATATTAGCTAGCGGGGTGACGCGCGCGCTCCTGGTCAACGCCAGTCGCCTTATTTCTGTGGATCAAAAATGCGTTGCGGGGAGGGACATGCTCACTAACGCGGCGGGGGCGGAGGGATGGGGATTGGAGCAACACGTGCTAGATTGCAAGAGCGCTTACCAGTTCCTCGCGGGTTTCTGCGCTGCCTTCCCGTCGCTCGCGATCCCCAAGTTCTTGCGCGTTTTAGATGAAAATGAACGCGCGCCCGTGCATCTGCAATTTCTTCCGCATGCCGCGCCAGAGGAATATCGCCATCATCTATTTGGGTGGGAGTGTGCACGGGGAATTCGCCATGGCAAGCGAAGTGGAACAATATTGCCCGAGCAGCATGCTGACATTCGTGCTGGCCGCCGGCCCGTTGTTACGCTGGACTCGCTTTAAGGCTGCAGCGCACATCGACGCGAACTTCGCCTGCGCCGATGATTGCTGTTTCGAACTCAAGGACGTCCTTCGCTCTCTTGGGCCTCTCCTCGCCGCGCTGGTTCGGCTCGAACACATTGCCAGCCTCCGGCTCAACTTCCGACTGTGCCAGATCCTGGTCGTGGGCTCCCTTAACGTGAACCTCTTTAGGGACTCTGTTCGGGTGCCCAAGGGTGATTGCAAGGTGATCCAGGTCCTCGGGGTCGTCAGAAACCTAAGGATTTCAATCGGCCGTGAGTCTCGCCTGGAGCGAAGGTGGGCCCGAATTCAAACAGCGAGTAGGTATTACTCGTCATGTGGGGTTCGGGCTTACCCGCTCGCCAAAGGTTCCAAGAGGCCTCCAAGACGGCCAAAGAGGCTTCCAAGAGGTCCTCCAGGAAGTCCGGAGGGTCTTTGAAGGATTTGGGCATTTGCTTCTTTTCGGCTTCCGGACGGCCCGAGATGGCCCAAAAGCCAAATGCCCCCGAAGATCGCCCCCTGAGCGCCCCAGAGGCCTCCAAGATTGCCCCAAGACCGCCCAAGAGCCCCAGGACAAATCAAGCAGCTCCCAAGACGGAGCCCTTGAAGGCCCTGAATCGCCTCAAGATGGCCCGTACACGCCCCAGAACGACCCAAGAGGCCCCCAAAAGGACACTAGGAGGGCCCCGCGACGGCCCCAGATGCTTCGAAGACGCCCAAGATGGCCCCCAGGACGGGCCTGGAGCACCCCAAGAGGGCTCCAAGTCGGCTCAGCGAGGCCCCCAAGACGGCTTCCGACGGCGTCAGATGAGCCAGGAACCCCTTAAGACGGCTAAAGAGGCCCCCGATAAGCCCACAAAGGCCCCCGAGAGGCCCAAGAAGGCCTCCACGATGCTTCCAAGAGGCCCCCAAGATCGATCCCAGGAGGCCCCAGGAGTGCCCCCAGAGACCCCCAAGAGTGCCCCCAAAGGCTCCCAAGACCCTCCTCCTCTTCATCCTCCTCTTCCTGATCTTCCCCGTCATCCTCCCTCAATTGTTCCCCGAAGGGTTTAGACAACGACTGGGGAAACACATGGTCCGATAGCTTGGCAGAGCTCTGCCCACAACGTTCGGCCACGCAAGCGCTTGCAAAAGGCAGGGGGCGGCGGTGATTCGCCGTAGGCGTCTTCGATAATGCCCACAGAGCCACAGCTCAGCTCTCCTCTTTAAAAACCAGCCATAGACGGAGAAAGGTGGCGGATTAAGAAAGAAGGGCGAGAAAGGAGGAACTTGGTGCCGCCTGCACATGTTTTGACCGCGCAAACATCCAGCCCCGCCCCCAAGATCGGCGGCATTGGCCGGATGCCATTACAATCTGTATCCACTGCCTTGCGGGCCGGGCCTCTGCCGCGAGCTCGTGGATGCGGAGACGGTCTTGTTGCGGGTGCCGCGCCGAACCTATCCATGCGACCGCGTGCGCATCCGCGGGATCGCGCCCCAGAGCCCAGACCTCGAGGGCGTTGACACAGATGCGGTCGCCGCTCGCGATTCGTATTTTCCCCCCCACAGCGGGGATGTCAGGGACGTTCTGGGGATCTTCGAGGGGAGCGCATGCCGCCCGTGCGGGCCACGCTGGGCGCGGCCGTGAGAGCCGTGGTGTGCGCCTGGTGTGCGCAGGCGGCGGGCGGCCTCGGGCCCGCAGCGGCTCAGGCGCCGGAGGCCGGACACGGCGAGGGCGCTGCGGAGCTGTGCGCCGTGGGCGCGCTGCTGCTGCGGGACTGCACAGCCCGAGGGAGACGAAACGACACAAGCACAAAAGTTTCTCGCGGGGCGCAAGGCATATCCGTATCCGCGGCCTCGCGGGCCAGGCCCTTGGGCCGCGACCCCGCTGATACGGGGCGCTTTGTTCGCGGCTGCCCCGCGCGGAACGTATCCGTGCGACCGCATGGCGCCTGGGAATCCAGACCGCGAGGGCGCGGATACAGATACTTGTGCCGCTTGTGAGTTTCGGAGGTCCGCGCGGACTCCTCGGGTCGGCGCTGGAGCCCTGCTGGCGGCGCCTCTCCAGCGCCGCCCCTGGCGCGATCCGCGCGCCACGGGCGGGGGTTCCAGCGCCAGCCCGAGGAATCCGCGCCCGCCCCCGAAGGCTTCTGCTTGTGCGGCCTTGTCTTCCTCCGCCAGCGGCTGCTGCTGCGGCCCTTGCGGCGGCCGCGGCGGAGCCAGGCGCACTGCCCTCGGCGACGGGCGCGAGCTCGGAGCTCGTGGTGTGTGCTGAGCTCGCCGGCGCGCTGGTCGGAGAGGCGTTCGCGGGCGGGCCGCAGTGCTCCGTGTGCCCAGAGGCGTGCGCACTCGCGCTGGTGCTGCAGGCGGCGGGCACGGCGTTCGCCACGGTGGCCGTGTGCTCGCAGACTCGAGGGGCAAAAGGTTGCACGAGCATAGACGTTCCGAGTTCCGCGCGGATTTCACGGATCGGCGCTGGGCCCCCCTGGCGGCGCCTCCCAGCGCCGCCATTGGCGCGCGGGGCGCGCCAGGGCGGAGTGTCTGCGGGAGATCCGAGAACTCCGCGCGGAGCTCCGAAGTGTCATGTTTATGCCATTGTTTGTTCATCTACAGACGTTGCTGATGCTGCTGCAAGCCTACCAAAGGCTCCACCAGGCTGGGATCGAGCCCGACTGGGCCGGGGGCAGCCTGGACGGGGACCTTCGTGGCTTCATCGACGCCCGCCGTTCACACTGCGGCATCGCGCGCCAGCGGGAGCTCTCTTCCGTCGTGTTACCACCATCAGGTTCTAACACCAGGCATCCTCTCGATGTGGCGCACCCAGCGTTGGTCGGCGCGGGGGCCACAAGGCAGGTCGCGATACTTCTGGCCGCGACGCCGTCAATGTTGCGAGTGTACCAGCCCTTTATAAATTTATGGCGCTGCTATGCCTTGCGGCACGGGTTGCAGTTCATTCTGGAGACTGACGACACAGAGGTGCGGCCGCCGCACCGCCGCGCCAAAAATTGGATACGCTGGTTTGCGGTCCGTCGCCACCTCGACTTCTACGAGGCTCTGCTGGTCGTGGACCCCGACACGTTTGTCGTCCCCGAGTGCTGGAACGTGTCCATCCCCGCGGTCCTGGGTTCCACGGCGGCTGCGCGGCGCGGCCAGCACGCCAGCCCGGATGTGGGTATGCGCGACTTCGGCCGCCCACAGACGTTGAACAACGGGGTGGTTTTGGTGAGGTCCACTCCGCGAGGTCGCTTCTTCTTGGACCAGCTGCTCGCGAAGGCGGCTTGGATGCAGACGATCGAGAAGGACCAGGGCGCGTTTGACGAGACCGTCCTCGAGGTCCTGGGGCTGGAGGCCCTGTCGCGTGGAGAGGACGGCTACGATTCCGAGTGCGTGCAGCACGTTTTTCCCAACGCCAGGGGGAATCACGAGGTCGCGCTGTACGCCCTGTGCTGGTGGCGCGTCAGCGAGCGCCTGGCGGGCCCCTTCGGCGCACGCCTTTCAGACACGATCCGGTTCGCAGATCCGCGGCTGGCGGACGTGAACCACGTCGTCGGAGCGCGTGGAATGTCGGAGCCCGCCGTGCTGCACCACTTCGCGGGCCGCTCGAAGGATTGGGACGCCATGCTGGACGCCTTCGGCGTCCCGCCTCGGCAGACCATGGACTGCCACGCGGTGCACGAGCACGTCCACGCGGCGGGGGCCGCGCGCCTGTGCGTGCCTGGCGCCGCAGAGGTGGCGGAGTGCGAGGACGGGCTGCTCGTGTGCTAGAGGAAAAGACGCATCTGGGCAGGGGCAGGTCGATGGGCGTCTCCCCATGGGAGGGTCCAGGGCTCTGGCCCTCGGGAGGGCCAGCGCGGGCCCCGCAGTCCAGCGCGAGACCTTCTGGGAACCGACATCGAAACCCGCATTCCAAGGGTGTCTCTGTTTGGTCGGCTCGGCTGCGTCGCAGTTGGTTGCCTTCGGTCGGCTCGGTTCGCCCGATTGTTGTGTGGCAGCTGCGTCGCTGCGCACTCCTGTGCTGCTTGTGGCCTGTCGGCTTCGGTTTCGCTGTCGATTCGGCCGGTGCGCGGCTGTGCTGTCGCCGTGGGTGGTTTGCAGTGCAGTAGTTGGGTGATGGGGTAACGCAGTGGCGACCGCCCGAACTCCCACGCCGGCGGGCATGCTTCCGTTTGGTGGCTCGCCCGCCCCAAGCAGGTCCGCCCCTCTCGGGCTCGTGCAGTGCCGAAGTGGCTCCTGGCTTCGGCACCCGTGTCACCGCTACCCGTCGAAGGACACCACGACACGCTTACAGTGAGCGGCTTGAATAAGGAACACTTGCTTTTCAAAAAGGGCTCGGTCGTTCCTTAGGCTTGCATGCGTTATTTACAGTTCCTTATGCGTTATTTGTTATTTATCGTTCCTTATGCGTTATTCCTTGGGATAAAAAAGGGGCTTCGTTCCTTATTTATCGTTCCTTAGGTCAGGCCGATGACTGTAGATGTGCAAGAGGCTGGCACCACATCAGCAGACCCCATCTGACCGCATCCGCAGGCACCATCCGCAGCCCTGGGTTGCTCGCGGGTGGCCTGCGCCTCTCCTGCCGAGCGGGCCTCTCGACCATTTTTCGTGTGCCACCGGGCCCTGTCAGCTGCCCCAGCGCGGCGAGGAGTTTTTCGAGTGGACCGAGCTGTGGCCCACCTCCGCACGAGACGGCGAGGTGACGGAAGGACGTCGCTGTCACCGTGAGAGACCTGCGTGATTCATGGTGATGTCGCGTTTGGGTCTTCAGGACACCGAGCCGTGTTGTGGGAGCCGAGTTCGGTTTCAACAACAACGCACGCACTCCTCCGGAGGACGGCAGCTCCCTATCGGGGTCAGCCACGTTTCGCCAGGGCCGGCAAACGGCGATCTCGTTGGCGGGCGACAGGAACCAGATCATATGCCTCTGTGGGCGTCTCTCTCTCTCTCTCTCTCTTTGTCTCTCATTTCTATCTCTCTATCTCTACCTGCCTCTCTCTCTCTCTCTGTATCTCTCTACCTCTCTAGCGCGCTTTCGCTCTTTGCACGTGTCTCCGCCAAGGGGGGGTACCCGCCGTCGTGGCTTTGCTGGGTGGACGCGCTTCTGCGCCCCCGCCGCTTACAGCATCGCCTCTGCACTGGCCGGTCTGGTGGTATCCGTCCCTGGGTCCGTCCCCCCAACGCGCCTAGGGAGTCGACAGCTGATAGCACCGCCCACTCCCTGCAGCCCGCCCTGCATCCGTCCCGCTGCACTTTACTGCTTGGGGCGCCGCTACCTCCTGCTCCGCTGCACCAGGACATCGTTGCCATGGCTCTGCGCTTCCAGTCGCTGCACCTCCTCTTCGCGCACCGCATCCTCTGCCCCAGCCCCTGGGTGTGGCCGCGACGCCACCCCGCGCCCGCTGCCAGGGGTGCGGCACCGGCTGGCCGCCCCGGCCGGCCCGCAGCGAACCACACCGTGTGGGCGCTCTCCCTCCTCCCCCCCCCCTGCCCTGCGGCCGCTTCCTCCTGCTGAATGACGCATTGACCCACGATCTTCGAAGTCTCCTCCCAGCTTCTCCTTCTTCCCCTCGCCCCCCCCGTCCCCTTCCCCACCTCCTCCTTTTCGTGTGCAACTCTGCAACTCCTTTTTCGCGCCTTCGCCTTCTCCCTCTCAACCTCCCCCCATGTGATTCGCTCCACATCTCCCCCCCGTCCCGACGGACCAGGAGGACGGCGAAAACGACGACAACGATGACGACCAATGACGACCCTCCTCCACAGTTCTTTTCCTTATCAGCAACTCCTCCGAAGCTGGACGAAAGGGCGGGCTGTGCGTTTCGCTTGAGAATTCAATACCGTTCATAGCCCTGCAGGTTAATTGTTGACAACCGTATCACAGATGGATGGCGGGTGGTTTTCAAAATGTGGTTTTCGCGCCGCGCGCGGTCGTGTTCAAATTCTTGACGCTTCGCGTATCCCCACCAGATCTGGTTTCCCCCCTGACTACGCCCCCCTCCAGCAACTCGCTGCACCGGCACAGTTGGACGGAGAAGTAGGGGAAGTGCCATCCCCACACAGATACGGAAGCGGCAGCGGCGAATACGAAGTCGACTGGGACGAGTCCAACAAAGGATCGGATACAGAAGGACAGGCTCCGGGAATCCCACCAGACAGGACTGTCTCCATGATCGCCAGTCCCACACAACGGGCAGTCGAGGCCGACATCCCAGACCCAAGCGACAGTGAGGCTTCCGACAGTCCGCCAGTTCTATGGACCCAGCCCCCGCAAAGGGTCGACTCAGCAGCCTGGACGCCTTTCGCTAGTGCCTACTCCCGTTCACTTCAGGAATATATCGGAGACGGCAGAAAGCTAAGGGGAGCCGGGAGCAAGTCAGAGCGCCGACCACCCTCTATTCCTGAGGACGCCACATTTGATCCCGATGCCCGCCCGCCACTTAGCTCGCTTTGGCAGAATCGCAGCTCGGACCGGGGGCCTGACCCCCAGGCAGCATCCCTCCCACTCGCGCGCCCAGATGATCCCTTGGGCGGGCTCCCCATGTACTTGAAGCCAATCTAAGAGGCGGATACTAAAGTGGACGAGCCAACCCCAGATAAGATCATCAGACTTCAAGAAGACGCTGGGAGGCGCATTCAATGGGATCTGGACTGCCTGGGTCCGTAAGGCAGGCAGCAGGCACGGGGGCCCGTGGGTCAACATCAAAACCGACCCCAAGAAGAACACGGTACAGCTATGCGAAGACTTTCTTCTGGCATGGGAGGAAGCAGGCTACGATGCCTACAAGATGGACGTCGAGCGCCGGCTCCACGTAGAATGGCCAACAGTCATGGAGAAGCATCGCCTGCTGCTACAACGCGACACCAGGACGCGAGCCCCCAAGGGCCGCAGTGGTGACGGCCGCCCGTACCCATGGGCCGTCAGCAGCAATGTCGCGCCAGCACCCCCCTCAATGCACGACGGGGGCAGAGACGCCACGCAAGCAACCCCCCCAGGCGAGCCCAGTGGAGATGTCCGGCGGTACCCATGGAGCAAGCCCAGAGAGGCCACAGGTGCACCGGCGTACACCGACTTCAGGGTTGGCCCGCAGACTGGCGCGTCCAGTTCAGCCGCCCCGTGGAATCCATGGCAGTCCAGGGAGGGGTGGGACCGCCGGCAAAGCACATGGACCGGCACAGATTGGAGGACCACGGAGAAACGGACTGCCCCTAGGGGAGACGCACACTACGCCGATAAGCGACAGCGCGGTCGGGACTTCGACCGCAAGTGACGCCGTCTGGTCTAGCCAAGGCGCGATGTCCAGTTCTCCAGGCCCAGGAAGGAAGGCCCCGTCATCGAGGGCCACTCGGCCAGGGCTCCTGCGCCCATTCCCTGTCCTGCCCTCCCCTGCGCCCCCTTGGGCACTTCCCAGTGCACGTCTACGGCTCGAGGCACTTTCCCCGCTCACGAAGCTCCAGGCCGCGGCTCTGACCACCTTCCCCCCGTTCATGTCGATACCCCGTGTTGCCACTCAGCCTGTCTCGGAGCGCAACGCGTGCTTTCTGGAGGACAACGACCTCGGTCAGCTGGGTACAGCCTCCATCACGCTATACAAAGTGGCCTCCGTCGCGCTGACCCTGTGGGCCACATGGGCCCCCGACGTGCCATGCGGGGCCCAATGGGTCGGCAGCCCCATGGTCCTCGAGCGCCCCCTCGCTGCCCACAGGCACGCAATCGGTCAGGACAAGACGTCGCGGACGGAAGACCCCCCACGGGCCACACCGACCACGAGCTGTCCCGTGACGAAGGGGGCTCGTTTCACCGCAGTGACAGGCACCAGCCGTAATACCCGTGTCACCTCCTGGGAGTGAGGTGCACAATTCACACTGCGTATAGACCCCCACGGAACTTCGTGGGCTCTTAGCCCGTGCGGTCTGGCTGCAATAATCCTGCCCACTGCTCACTTTGGCCTTGTTCACGAGGACATGAGCCCGATTCGCTCGCTTGGGCGCTCACTTTGGACGGTTGGGGCGGCAGGCCAAAGGCCCCCCCCCCATGCGCTCCGCACTCCCGACGTCCGACAGCCCTGCACTGATGGCGCTTCCCCCCACGAGGCGGCGCCACACGCCGACGACATACCGACTGCGCGCGCTGGGTCCTCGACAGACGGTGCCAGCACCTGGCTCCTCCTCCCCCATGTATTCAAATGTTATGCGGCTATCGGCTGCGCCTCCCCCTTCCCTCCTGACGCCCTCGACGACTGTGGGGCTGGCCGACAACGCGTGACGTTCGCAAGACGCGCTCCACACTGGCAGGGGCCATCATGGCCCTCTAAAGTCCCTTGCTGCCCACAGGCACGCAATGGGTGAGGAGAAGACGTCGCGGACGGTTGACCCCCCTGGGCCACATCGGCCGCGGGCAGTCCCTTCACCAAGGGGGCTCGTTTCACCGCAGTGACAGGCCCGGGCCTTAATACACGTGTCACCTCCTGGGAGCGAGGTGCACAATTCGCACTGCGTACACCACGGTGCTTCGTGGGCTCTTAGCCCGTGCGGTCTGGCTGCAATAATCCTGCCCACGGCTCACTTTGGCTTTGTTCACAGGGACATGTGCCCGCGTCGCCCGCTTGGGCGCTCACTTGGGACGGCTGGGGCGGCAGGCCGAAGGCCCCCCCCCCATGCGCTCCGCACTCCCGACGCCCGACGGCCTTGTCCGAGTGACGTTTCCCCCCCACGAGGCGGCGCCACACGCCGACGACTTACCGACTTCACGTGTTGGGTCCTCGACTGGCGGT